TACTAAGGGAGGTTTTCATGCTTGACCTCATCGCCTTTCTACCCCCCTACTTTAGCAAGAGATGAGGTCTGCACTCCCCTTTCTCAAAGGCGACTCCTCTCGACCTTCTTTCGTTAACCAAACATAACAGGTGGCGACCTCTAAACGATTCAACACAATGTTTTACCCAGCGGTCCTCACCACGGGTCTTTCCAGCGCAGCTCTCCACGCTTGCTTTTGCCGCCCCCGGCGGTCTGCAGCTGCGCCAGCTTGGCCTCCTTCGACGTCTTGAACAGTTTCAGCTCGGAGTCCAGTCGCCCCGCTTCCTCCAGCAGCTTCGACATCACCTTGAAGGGCAGTGTCTCGAAGTCAACCTGAAGACGGTTCTCGACTGCGAAGTCTTCGAACCTCTCATTTGTCAAGTCATCCGCTGGCTGATTTTGAGCTCTCGGCACCCACTGCAGCTGAAGGTCCACGCCTACCAAGTCCAGTTGCACGGCCAGCTCCATGGCCACTATAGAGAGCGGGTAGCGGCTCGAACCAAACCTCTTCAGCACATGCGTGTTTGCCAAATTGTCTGTCAGAGCCGTCATAGTCACGGCCGCACCACCCCTTGACCAACTCGCCCCTGGGGCCAGCACCATAACTGCTACCAGAACTCCAATCAGCTCAAGAGTGGCGATGTTCCGAAAAGGATCACCCCGAAGATACGCCCAAGGTGCCGTCTTCCGACTCAGGCGGAAAGAAAACCATCTGGCCTTCTTCTGGTCCGGCTCAGCCCCGGTCTCCCACCCGCCGATGACTATCTCTTCACCGGCGGCCTTGGCATCCACTCTGAAGACGTCCACTGGGTCCACTTCCAGCGGTTCCGCCGGCCTCATCGGACTCCTCTGCACCTCTTCCTTGACGAACTTGAGAAGAATGACCACGGCATCCGGAAACGTCGAAAAGGTGCCCGGCGCGAGTGCCGATGCCCAGGAGAACAACGGTGCCAGGAAGGGCCTGACATGCCTCAGCGCTCCCGCAACGAAGCTGAGCCTGCCAAGCACCGATTTCAGCTCGCGTCCAACCACACCACCGAGCTCGAGCTTCTTGTCGATCCAGTCCACTATCCATGCCCTCTTCGACTGGTTGATGCCCTTTTGGTAGGTGTGGATGTTGAGACAATAGCCAATCCAGTTCACCTCAGTGCCTCCACGCACCTTCGCCCAGGTCACCGGAATCTCGAGCAGCTCAAAGGCAAAGAACCACATCAATATCCTCCTCCAGAAATCTTTGCCCATCGCGGCCAGCCAGCCATCGTCGGCGTAGATCAAATGGAGAAGGCCGTGAGCTCGCCCAAGAAGCCTATGGGTGCACCTCACCGCCACGGCCATGGTCCTCCCAAACCAATAAGCCGCACTGGCAACGCCAAAGGTGCCACGAGTGTGGACGAATATGTCGCCCGACTTGTCGCCAGGTAGACGAAAAGCTTGAAGGCCCCAGTCCTCTTCCGCCACCAGGATCAACTTGTGGGCCCTGGCGATATCATACAGCACGGAGAACCGAACACCACCTCCTCTGTCGGCACCCTCGGTCTTGACCTGCCTCAAGACAGCCGTGGCATCATCGATCAGCGGGAACCGCATGCGATCTCGGACACGAATCCTCCGGTTCACATCCACACTATAGGTCCCGTCATGTATCAGCCGAACCCTCTTCGTGCCCAGCTCCTTCGGGACCGCTCCCAATGCAGCCACCGCCAACCTGTCGCCGAATCTCCTCCTGGCCTCGTGCTCCATCATCCTGACGATGGTTCCTTTCTCCACCTCCTGAAGCACCTGCCTCTCGATATCTTCGGCGTTGTCTTCCGCCGACTCATAATTGTCCGCCAGGATGTCTCTCATCACCTCATCTGTTGCATCCACTGTCCATTTAAGCTTCTCCTCATAGACCTCGGGGGTCCGTGGCATCTCCATGTCGACCCCCAGTCTCACTCCTCGGTCAGCGACCTCATCCAAGAAGGCGTAGTCCTCGCCTCCCATCGCTTCGCCCAGAGCCCTCAACCTTCTGAAGTTTATCTCCGAGTCTCTGTCTGTGCTCTTCCTGCATGGCTCCAGGCCCCACCTGCCGAGATGTTCATCCAACCGCCTCCTGACGCCTTCCATCTTGGCGACTCCAGGACCTTGCCTGCCGCCATCTTCCAAAACATTCCTTTTGCTTCCTCCTCACCGACCGTCTCCAGCCAAAGCTTGAACGCCTCCTGGAACCATCCAACTGTCGACATCTCCCTCTGCGAAGCGGGGTCCCTTCTCTTGTCCACCGGCCATCTCCCCGGAGAGCAAAGACCGGCACCATCATGTAGAGCCCTGGTTTCGCCTTTGTAGCTGACTTGTATCGGCGGTCCTGCCCCGGGCCTTTGAACTCCCGGAGCCACCGGCGTCCTCTTTGAAGTACCTGCCGGAGGTGTGGATGTGGATGCCCCTTTTGAAGATGCCTCCTCCATCGACTCCAGCCTTCTCTTCTTGGGATCCTTCTTCCCCTCCAGTTTGGACTTCTTCCCTCCTTCAACCTCCCCCTCTTTAGCTTGAAGAGGGAGAAGCCACTGATCCAGAATCGCTTCTGCCAAGGCCTGATCCATTGCCACAGGGTAGGCCGAAGTAGTGGAAGTACGAAAATCTGCATCAGTTGAGGTGCGTGCTAAGGTGACTGTGGGATGGCATGAGCACTGAAGTTGAGGTCCTGCATAGTGGCCGTGTGAATCGAACTCAGGCCAGCGGCACGCACCCCATTGCCTGAGAGCTGACAGGTTGGAGAGGGATCGTGTGGGCTTTCGATATGGGGCACCCCAGCAGCACTGATTGAAGACGACTGTGAACAAGCCCAGAGCTGACGCTGGTGCAATCTTGCCCTGAAGCCTGGGGAGCTGCCAAATCGAAGCTGGGTCCATCCTCATTCGATCTTCTTCGCGATATGCCACTCCAAGATCCTCCGGGCGCTCAGCAAAGACCAAGACTGTGGCTCCATTCTGTGAAATTGGACATACCTCCAAGGCGTCCAGCACATCTAACATGAAAAGCACGAGCACGTTGCCCAGCTCTGCATCCCTGCTGTGTCTTGAGGACAGCCATGGAAAGCCCCAGACATACTGCCGTGATCGAATCATAGGCGGACCCCGACAGTTCGCACCACGAACTCTAGACCACGTCGAACAGGGCGGAGTAATGAGCACCACGTCGAACTCGCCGGTCTTCACCGGGGCCAGCAACCTTGCCTGCACTTCTGCCTTCGAGAGGTCCCATGCTGCAGAATTCTGAATGTCCACGTCGTGCACGACACATTGAATGCCCTGTCGACTGCACATCTGCTGTAGCACAGCGGTGACGGAGGACTTCCGCTGCGCCCCACTAAAGAGATAGAGCACGTTCAAGACATGCCCTCTTCGTGTGCCCCTCGTTGTGCCACCTCCTTGTGGTGGGCCTGGGGCAGGGCCCACCACTTTGTCCTGTCAGGCGGACTTTCCGCCGCCCTCTGCGGCGCCCCCCGTGGTGTCTTTCGCCTTGCCACTGCCATCGCAGGCATGCATCGGATGGGGCCCGAAGCAAATCTGGCACACATGCAACCTCCCGCAGTTGAACCGGCACCTCTCGCGGGGGTTGTTCCACTTCCAGCAAATCTGGCGGCCATCTGGTGTGCGGTCGTTCAATTGCTTGCCGCCCTTCTTGCCTTTGCTCTTGCCGCCCCTCTTGGACTTGCCCTTGCCTTTCTCCCAGTCACGGCCCCTCTCGGCTGCCCAGCCACGCTCCACTGCAGGGCTCCTTGACCTCCACGATTCTGATCTTCCGTGGCCAGCTGCAACCTGGGAGTAAACATTGGGCGTGAGGAAGTAGCGCTCCTTGATTGTAGTATCCAGCATAGACTCCCTCAATGCCTCGTGAAGAAGACGCCCTTCGTTTGCCAACTTCACCATGGAACGCCTGACCTGGAAGTCATACGATAACATCAAGTCAAACTCAGGCGATGCCACTGTCTCCCCTGCCTGGTTCTTCGCCTTGAGGCCCAGAACATGTTCACCCAGCATCAAATCCAAATACTTGAGGAAGTGAATAGGCTGGAGTTCACGTAGTATTGCTTTCTGCGGGAACTTCAACTGGGCCAGCAAGTACGAATGCGAGACCACCGCCATTCTTCGCCTGAACTCTTCAGGTGTCCTGGGTTTGGGACACTCACCATAGCCTTTCTTCACCTTCAAGGCCCCCGTGCCCTTTTCAATGGTTGCTCCCAGGACATCTGCTTCTGCGTCCTCACGGCTCACGAATTGCACAAGGCTCATGTTCTTAAGCTCGCCTTGCTCAACCTGATCGAATATCTGTTCCAGTGTTGAAGCAGCCGGTATGTTGCGATCTTCGAGCTTCAGCCCGTGCACTGACTGGAACTTGATCAGCAGGTCCTGCACTTCGACCTTGTTCAGAGCTCTCGGCTGACTGGCGAGACCAGCCTCCGCTTCTGCCTTGTGCCTCACAGACATTCTCGTTGAAGAAGACTCCCATGCGTCGACCATCGATGCAATGTCTATCACATCATTCATCTCGTCCAGCCCAAGCGAGTCCACACAGAAATTCCTCATTCCAGCTCTGTCATCGGTCACTGTACTAAGCCTGCTGATAGTGCGAACTCGTGCTACCGAAAGCTTGGCCTGCAGGACCTCACTCACCTCCTTGATCTGAAGAAGCCCGTGTAGATCAGCGTCCAGCAGCGCTATGGCATTTGCTCTTCTAGCTGGTGTGTCATGCCCTATGTCGGGCGGTGCCGCTGCTGCCGCCATGATCCCTCACGGGGGCTCGGATCACCCCCCCCCGCGAGATCGACGCGCCGCCGACCGCGGCCGCCTTCGATCGTTCCCGCGTGCTGGAGCCCCAACACGCATGACATGCCTGTCAGGGTGTACCGAACGATCGACGAGGCCCGCGACGATCACACACGAACTGAAAGCTGACAGCCCAAAAGCAAGCTCTACCTCCTACACCTTGACTTTGGTCCCACGAACCTTCATGGTCTCTCAACCCCTTCACTCGTATGCGCAGCACCTGTTCTCACTTCTGCCGCACACCTGTCTGTGCAGAGATGTCCCCTCCAGCGCGAGCTCTTGTCGGCCTCCCTCACGCTGATGCCTCTACTTCAGACTCCATTGAATCTGACGATGTCACATCCCCGGAACTCTCGTCTTCCGGAGATCTCTCTGCCAAGGCCGCATCTTTGCCAAAGCAGTTCCTGCAAGCACGATGATACATGCTTGTATCGGGAGGTTCATCTCCCAGGATCTCAAACTGTGCATAATGCACGCCGGGCTGCCTATGGCACTCTCCGACGCGATGCAAGGTCCGCGTTCGTGAACGCCCAACTATGGACACAACATATGTACCCGCCACCTTCTCGGCGGCCACGACTTCCTGGCCCTGCGTCTGCTGAATCTCCTCTTCTTCCGACTCGAAACCAGCATCGCCAGTGTCGTGTGCGAGGTCTTTCACATCTTCATTGCTCTCTGGCTCGATGAGCACCACCGGGCCCGTGGCGGTCCACTTAGGCCTCCAAGATGCCTCCACTGCCACCTCCTCAGGATGGAAAGATTCCAGCAGCGCGGCCTGACACTCTACGGCCTCGTCCGGGTAGCCGAGATATGCCATCCTGATGCTCACTGCCTCAAGGACCGAAGCCTCGTCCATAGGATCTCCTCTGCCTCGGTTGTCACGCAGAAAGGCTGCGATGATCTTCTGGCTTCGCAATATGTTGGCCCGAGTTGCCCGCTCGTAGCCTTCATCAATGGCTGGTCGCCAACGGCCCATCTGACGCCTAATGTCAAGCGGAATCCTGGCAGCTGCAGCCCAGGTTCTCAGCGTAGCACGTTCGCTATGTTCTGTCCACAATGTTCCGACACCTTGGAACAGCAAGGTGACCTTCTGCCCTCGATCCATTGCCCAAAGTTCGTTGAACAATGCTTGAGACATTGCAGATGCCGTTGCATAGTCCGCCATCCTCCGAGCGAATCCAGTCCGGTTTGCTGTGGGCCATGTCGACATAAAATCACGTGTCAGCATGCCAGCCTCCATGCCCATGTGGTTCCAAATTTTCCATCCAACCGACAGCCAGTTGTGTCGACTGACCCATGACTCCTTGCTGACATAGAACGGCAACAGCAACACTCTCTTGCCTGGCCCCGACGTCTTGGACTTGTGGATGACCCCCAGCAGGTGCGTCTCCTTGAGCTCCATGCTCCTGTTAGGGGTCCCCTTTGTGTCATCAAACCTGAGGCCCGCCCAGATCTTCACAAGTCGATACCAGGCGTATGCCCTTGAGAAAGGCGTACGATCGTCATCCACCACCATGTCTTCCATTGCGGCCACGATGGCCAAAGGGAGCAGCAATGCTTTCCTCGACGGCCTGATCTCCGTGGATGACAACCTGAGCTGGGCCTCTTCCAGCGCGTTCCTCACCGCCGATGAACGATGAATGAACTCCGCCTCCTCTACTTCTCCAGCATACTCCAAGAACATCAATGTCTTGTATGCTGCCTCTGGCGCTGATCTTGCGCAGGGTTCTTGCACGATCGCCTCCAAGTACTCCGCGAACTCGGCCGCGTGGCTCGGCCACGGCTTACCATAAGCCGATTCAAGCCACTGTCCGACTTTCTGCCACGTCTTGACATGTTTGCGGAGTGTGTTCGGTCGCCGGCCTTTGGCGATGCGCATCATCAGTGAGTCCTTCTTCATGATGTCTCTCAACATGCCAAGCCAACGTTCCCTCTCGGCCTTCTCCGCAGCCTCGCGCAATGCCAGGTCAGTGCCCGCCAAGTGCAGCATCTTCCCTAGGCGGGTGGGCCATTTGAAGACCTTTGCACTGCCTACCAACTTGACTCGCTCTGCGACCTCCTGGCCTTCCAAGCCCTCGAAGACTCGGCGCCTCTTCTCACGCTGGTGCTCGACGTGCGCCTCCAGCAAGTCCTGTGACCCACGGCCTGCATCCGCCCGGTGGATCGTCACGGATCGACTGTCGCACTTGCCGATCATTGCACGTAGCCCAGCCACGTCCTGGCCGAAGTCTCCCCTATGCTTCCTGGCAGAGTCAAGGACGGAATCCAGCACCTTCAACTTGCAGCCCTTCAAGGTGGCTAGCCTTGTCACCGTCCATCCCAACTCTGCCAGGCTCTCGATGTCAGGCGTAGCCCAGCCTGACAGAGCCCCGCATAGGGAGAGCTCATCCATTGCGGCACCGCTGGACCCCCTATCTGTCCTGAAAAGGGGGGTCAGAGCCGCACGCTACGCGCGTCGCGTCGTGACAGACCCCGTGATGCTCACGAGTTGTCATGTATTGCATGTTCAAAAAGAAACGAATTGAGCTAACAAGTTGCTATGAAGGCTGCTCTTCACTCTTCCAAGTCAACAAGAAGGAAACACATCAATGTCAAATAAGACACACAACAATGACAAATGGTTAAAGTTCTGTTCATGATTTTCATGGGCCTTCATCTGATCCCTGTACCCGTCAGTGTCAATTGTCGAGGTGCCTTCTCAAGCAGGTAGCCTCCGAAATACCGTGGCTCGATGCCAGGCATTTCGACATTGAGACCAGCCGTGAGAGCCTCACGTAACGAGGCTTCTGGGTTCGGTCAAGCTGGCGAGAGTGATCCGGAGAGGTTCAGTCAATCTGGTGGGGTGTGAAACTAGGAGGGAAGCAAAAGAAACATGTTGTATCCAGGATACAGGGTTCTTTGCTTACAAAGACAGGCTGTATGTATCATGATTTGGGGATTCCAGCCTGAACAAGCACACGATGCTGCTGCTAGCGCCAGGGCACTTTTGTGGTGGTTCGATTTGCCCACCAGTCGGAGACCACCAGGCCTTTAAACTGCCAAGTATCTCGCAAAACCTCCTGAAGCAGGAATGTCAAAGCAAGGGCGGGTTGATCTCAGTATATCTCAGTAGTTCTGTTACCCGAATTGAGACAGTCAAGAACTTTTTAGTAATGATTGATGATTAGTTAATGATGTTTTGTGGTCATCTGAAGCGGCTTGAAGACAAACAGTCTCCGAAGCGGCAGTCGGACTGCGGCTGGCATCAGTTTGATCCTTCATGAAGATCTATGGGAGAAGACAAATGTCGAGGCATGCTTTTTCACCAAGCCCGTAAAGCAGCCTAGAAGAGCGTTTAGATTAGTGCTGTCTTTAATACACTACTATATGAGTATTTATCTACTAGATTGATTCTGCTAGTTACTAGTTATTACTCTTCCACTCCAAGTTCCAACATATTCCACACAGGTCCTGAAGAAGATGATGATTCTCAGCGCAGTATTGGCCGTTAAGTCTGTTGTATCCCGGCCTGGAATTGGCGCACAAAAGCCAAGAAATCCTGTGCAGTCTTCCTGGCTAGAACGACCTCCAAGCCACAATTGGCCCCCAAGTCCAACCAAGTCTCTGTTTTCGAATGAAGAAATCTCAAGTCCCATAGCGCCCGTTTTCCATGGCTGAGTTTCTCTTCTCTATCCTGTTGCCTTGTATTTTTTCGACTGGATGGTTCAAGGCAATCCAAGGCACATAATGGCTTGTGCACCAGCACGGACTGCCGCTTCAAAGGGCTGCAAATAGACCTGTGGGCAGAGGGAACCTTTGGCTGGCAATGCAGGTGTCTGCAGGACTGCAAAACTAAGAAGGTGTTGAATTGTCAAAAAGTGAAACTGCATCCAAAAACAAACGGTTGAGGTTTCTTGACCCTCCGGCTCATTGCTCTCAACAGTCTAATCTTCCTTGCCTCGTGAAGAACACGCTCACCAATGACTGAGTTGGAGTGGCCACGATCCTTGGCTTTCTACCAGAGGTACAGCATAGAGCATCCAAGCGTATCCACCAGGGCTACTGCAAGCAAGTCCAGAAGGAGCACTCTGAAACACACTTAAGAAAGTTCCAACCTTTCAACTTACCAAGCCAAGTCTCAGCCTCTTGGTCATTTCCAACAAAATGCTTCCTTGAGTGACAAAGAGAATGAACGCAAAAACAGAACTCATGGGCCCACAGATGCTACCCCTCGTCACCCATGGCTGTCTCAGGATATTCAACATACAACACTGGCTATGAAGCCCAATTTGCCAAAGAGATATCTTGCCGTGTGATGCAAAGGAATACAAAGTGATATTGGTAGTAGCTAACAGCTAGCTTGCCTCGTGCATGGCGCATAGCTTTCTTGCCGCCCAAGTCACACACATGCAGCAGAGAAACGCTGCACGCCTTTGACATAACTGGCAGCACAGCGAGAGGTCAAAAATGGGTCCTGGCAGCCGGCAGCAACAGTGTGACCCAAAATGTGTGATGAAAAAAGCTTTATATTATATTATATAACAAAGTGTGTCTCAATAGGTGTTTAACAAAGTCCATGCATTAGCCATGCCTTTGACGGCTATTTTCACCACTCTGGCACATGTGTCGGACAGATGAATCCTCATCCCTGCAACGGCGCAAAGATCCCAACCCAACCGTTCCTAACCCAAATCCTACCCCAAATGACACAATAGGCAAACACCCTAGCCATCCTCGGAAAAGCATTCGAAGTGCCGGCCAGTGATAGGAGACCTGCACCAGCAAGGGTAGGCTGCTATCCACGTGCCCGGCGGAGCGTTGTCTAAAAGAGATCCCCATACGCATACGAGACATATCGTACAATAACTTGATTCTCATTCTGCGACCGTGATGGGTGGCTTCTTTGAGATCTAGTCAAGAGCAATTCAAAATAGGCCAAAGGGGACACATGCCCGATCGGTGTCGAGAGTGTCCCGATCGGCGGACGTAGCCGTAACACCCATGGTCGTTCCCCTGCCTATGAATATTCACGGTTGGGCCGAGGAGAACATTGGCACCACGAGCGGCGCATTCCTGGCCCAAGATCTCACCAATCTGGAAGAGGATCTCCTCGAGTGTGAAATTGGATCTGGGTACCGATCATCTTTCAATTGCTTGCCCAGACCTGTGGAAATGACACTAATGAAAAATGATGTAGGAACTAGAATCCTGAAGCCTTTCTTAGATCATCTTAGATCTATGATGGTTCATGACGTGCAGTAAAACTATATAGACTAGTACTAGTAGTGTGTTGTTGTCAAACAAGCTGGAGGACAATGGAGGACATGTGAATTCCTCATCAAAGGTGGCAGCTAGGGCGCTCAAACACCTTAGCAAATGGGAGGCAAATCCATGCGTCGTAAACATATATAGGCTGATACAATATTGCCGCACAATGAATCAACCAGGCATATCTAAATGTATCGTATTCTGGAGCTATAAACGGTGCCTGAACGCTTGCCTGAGGGTCCAAGTTGGTGTTTTGTTGAATGCATATGAATGCACTGTCCATTGGACTGGCTTGAAGAAGCAAGGTTGTCATTTACGACAAAGTCGAGAGACCTATGTCTGCACCTCTTCACGTGTTTGGTGTTGCATGTTTGGAATAGAGGCGTGGCGGCGTGACACAACAGACACAGTTCTTGTGATCTGTGCAACAGCGTCTAAAATCACTGTAACAAGGTACAAAAAAACCATCGGAAAAGAAACACTTTCTGTTCACTCATATTCTTCGTATTAACTTCGTATCTCATATCTTTCCCAAGTCTTTCCCTTTTCACATTCTTCGTTCGCCTCTTTCGGCTGAGTCTCGGTGCAAGTGCCGCACCCTTGTCGCCGTGGAGGCCGTACCCACGGGCTCCATGCGGGCCATCCGAGAAGCGCAGTCGCGGAAGCTTCAGGCGGGGAACGCCACCAGCCTGCCATAGCAAGACTAAAATGGGAAGTCCTAAGAGATAGCAAGCATCTTCATAATCTTGATAGCATTAAGAAGCCAGATTATATATATGTATAGATCTATCCAATCCTGCAATTCAGTCCTTAACACGGACATGGACCTCAAATGACCACGAGTGCACAAAACCGGGTCAAGGCATCCTGATGTGAAGCGAGCATCCCACAAGCCTCCCACATAGTCTTCCCGGTCAATATGTCCACCTGACAAAATTGAGTGGAGATGAGGGGAGGAGTCGACTCACTGAAGATCCCACTGGCCTTCTCTTCCAAAGTAAGCTTTCGAAGCAACTCTTCCACTTCATGATGATGAATCAAAGCTTCCTGCAAAAGCTTCATGTCACAAATTACCCCCAATCCTGCGGTCATGCGAGCCTTACAGGCACTTAAGCACAAAATACTCATGCAACATGCAAGTCCTTCAATATCACCTCTTTGCAAAACGATATTCTAATCAGGCCTCCAGTTATGCCTATGTTCTCTACCGTGGAAGGAGTGCAATAACAATCCATAACCCAAGTCTCGGATTGGCATCAAGGCATTCAATGAACACGAAATGACTTGGCTCTCTAGAGTGAGTGGTGAATTGTTTGTGTTTATAAAAACCCAGCACAAATGACTTGGGCTCCTAGAGAAACACTGTGAGACCCCGAAACATGTAATTTTGATTGACTCATGGAAAAACAACTCCCTGAACTTCTGAACCCTTTATATAATTACGGAAGACCACTGCCAAAGAAACGGTGCAGCATCGGTTCCATACAGGCCTTTGTCGCGTAGGCACAAAAAGGCAAAATGGATCCCGAGCATTTGATGATCAACCCAAGACACGATGTTTGACAAATGGAGTTAGGGAAATGTGAGCATCATCTGACCATGTGGTCTTTGCTCCAGCTCAGCAAAAGCACGGTGGGTTTTTCTCACCCTTTGCTGAACCATCAGACTTGGAATTGAAGCTCAGTGCCTTCTATCATATGCAACATGAGGCCGGTCATTCCCAATGTAATGTGAAGCACATTTCTAGTTCCAAGCTTCCAAATCACAATCGCAAATAACTGAACTCCGACAGACCAACCCATTGAATGTCCCATGTTTGTTGGCAAACAAATCATGTCCACGCCATACCATTGCCACATTATACATCGAGTGACCAAAAGTGCTGGCCTGTGGATAATACTCCACCCAACCGCCAAGGTCACATAATTGCTGTCGACCTCAATCTTCATCTGCGCATAAGAAAAAACAAACAAATTACACCAGCATAGACCCAGATAGCTAGGCAGAATCCCACGACCTGTTGACACGCGACTGGCTGGAACAAGAATGTACGCAGCTTGCGCAGCCAGCTTATGGCACCTCCACAGTGCGCACAATCAGCTGACACCAGCACCGGTGCGAAAGCGCGCACAGCCAGCTCATTGTCGATTGAAATAATAAGAACCCCATAGCTGTCGCTACCCCAGCACCGGCACCCGGCACCCTATCTCCACCACGCGCACAGCCAGCACCCAGCACCAGCACCGGCACCCTGTCTCCACCACGTGCACAGCCAGCTCACAGCACCAGCACCGGCACCCGGCATCCAGCACCGGCACCCTGTCTCCACCACGTGCACAGCCCGCGCAGGCAGCTCATCAGTTATTTGAAGTGAGAACCCCACAGCTTCGCTATCTGGGAAAAAGATCCGAAAATAGACCCCCTCACATATGCAAGCTACACCACCAGCAGCAACCTGTCTCCACCACGTGCACAGCCAGGCTCACAGCACCAGCACCAGCACCGGCACCCAGCACCCAGCACCCACACCGGCACCAGCAACCTGTCTCCACCGCATCCACAGCCAGCTCACAGCACCAGCACCAGCACCGGCACCGGCACCCGGCACCCAGCACCAGCACCAGCAACCTGTCTCCACCACGTGCACAGCCAGCTCACAGCACCAGCACCAGCACTGGCACCCAGCACCAGCAACCTGTCTCCACTACGTGCAGCTCACAGCACCAGCACCAGCACCAGCACCGGCACCCAGCACCAGCAACCTGTCTCGAAAGCGCGCACGGGCAACTCATTGTTATTTGAAGTAAGAACCCCATAGCTTCGCTATCTGGGGAAATAGAGCCCACCAACCGGAATCGGCCAAACATTGTTTGACACTCTTATTGAAACCTATAGCCAGTCCATCAAAAAAAACGCTCCCCAAAACCAGCGTTGCATCACTCTTCGTGTCCCCCAAAACCAGCTTCTGTCCCCCGAAAGCTGCGCACTCCACTCTTTCGTGAAGCAGGTCAGGGCCACCCGACAGCCCCATGCCCAAGGGCATCATGCAACCTACTAGTGATGGCATCCAGCCTAATAGGCCTCCAACCTACTAGCGATGGCCTCCAACCTAGTACCCTTGGGCTTCTATGCAAACATCAAGCGCTTGAGTGCTTCAGGGGATGGTGCCAGCTAGAATCACCAGTGGGCCAAAGGACTATATAACTGCCGTCGCTGATAGGTCCGGTCAAGTGCGCCATTTGGGATGTCTAAATACTCTGTTCTCGGAGGATCCTTGTCCTACCGATTTACCTTGCCTGCGGATACAATCCAAACCTGGAAAATTGGTTGTCACAGCCACAGGCTGTTCCCATCAACCATGATCAGCAAAACTGTCCTCCTCCTGATGCTGTGGAGTTGGGCTTTCAAATGTTTGCAGGTCCATGGCAGTCGAAAATCCATGCACCGCTTTGGTCAACAAAGTTCTGACTTAGATGCTTAGCAAGCGAATTCGGCTTCCAGACATTAGATTCAGACGTGCAAAATGGTCTTCCACCAATGTGCTAGATCATGTGTGATGATGAATTAAGTACTTTCTGAAAGTGTTCTCGGACCTAAGCTGAAATAAGTGGATTGAGTCATGACGAATGACATTCAAGTACCACGACCGGGGCGGCTGTATGCAACAACAAAAGCCGGTGTTTTGCAGAATCAATTGATGCTTTTAAGAGCCAAGTCCTAGCACAACAACATGCAGCCAAAGAACTGGCTAAATGAATCTACCATGCCGTGGATATCCTTTTTAGTGGAATGTCAGCTCTAGGAGGTTGCAATGGAATGCTCATCCAATTTGATAAAGAAGACCGAGAAATTCTTTACAAGAAGACCTGCAAACAACTCATTGTAAGAGCCCAATATCTCCCAACCGGAAGAAGTGGCTTTTGAAATTCCCTAAACTGAAACACAAAAGTGACTGAAACTCAGCATGTTGAACTGTTGAACTTCACCTCCCTTCAAAGTTCATGTGAAACTCCACAGGAAGCATTCACAAGATGTAGTCTCACACAGATAGAAAAAGAGAGAGAAAGAGAGAGAAAGAGAGAGAGAGAGAGAGAGAGAGCGCAAGAGAGCCTGAGAGCTGAGAGCGAGACAAACGGCGAGTATCTTTCCTTCGCTTCCTCGCCTTGCCCTTCCGCCAGTAGGGTTTGAAACCGCGCTCCCGGAACTCCTGCACTCACCAGAAGAAAAAGACTCTGAGGGGCCCTCATGATTGTCATTAAATGAGCAGGCCGTTAAGACGTCAGTCAGTGAGTGCCTGTTGCAAGTAGCAGATCTGCAGAAAATGCATCAAAAACAACTTGTTGGGTACTTCCTTGTCACACTGTATGTACAAGTGTCCTCGTGTTATGTTTATCCGTTTGGACTGTCCTTGTAGCCTGTCTCGGTCTCCTCCACATCCTCTGCTGTCTCATCATAATTGCGTTCAAACCTCATGGTGCCCAAAGTTGAAACACTGCAGAGAAATATTGGAGTCCATCGCTATATTCAATTAGGTCTAAAGAATAGAAACACTGTCTATCACCCTCAGAAGGGCTGCTGTACCCCCGCCCTCACATGTAACGCTACACATTAGTACACATTGGACAGTCTGCCATTTGCATTTGCCGCTGATACTCCACCTGTAAAGACTACCACGGCAAATGCCTTTGATGACACTGGAACCCCAAAGATGTTAGATGCACTTTCTTGCATGTCTCAGTTGCCCTCCCCGGTGTCAAGCTCAAAATGGAAAGCTCTGAATGGTGCAACTCTCCATTGATCAAACGATGTCCAAATGCCGTGGCCCTTTGGGCCGCCTACACTGCCAGCCTCACCCCGCTGCAGTCCTCCCCGCCAAGTCACTTCTCTTGAGTGAGGACATAAAGTTCGTGATCTGCAGACTCCTAGGAGGGAGACCGACAGAAGAGTAAGAGGTTAACCACAGTCAAACAACTTCAGAGAACCTGAGTGATGACCTCTTGAATCACGAAAAAAAACTGTGCTAAGCCTCTACGCCTAAACCTAGCCTCTCAATGCCACCTGACGATTCAGGAGAGGTCTGGTTTGAAAGCAGAAAGGCCATCCAGCTTCAACAAGGTGACTAGCCTAGCAGCTTTCTGGATCGGCATCGAGTGGCACATGGTCATGTAACGTATATAATATATATATATATAGAGATAGATAGAGAGAGAGAGATAGATAGATAGATAGATAGATAGATAGATAGATATTTATATATATATACATGGAAGATCATGGAAGGGAGGCTTAGGCTTCGGGGTGCTTGAGAAAGGATAATATGGAGAGAGAGAGAGAGAAAGGAAAGACCCACTGATTTTGCGATTGACGTTGAGGACATACTCTTCTGGAGTAGGCGAACAATACAGTAAGTTTATTCAATCTAAAGTTAGGCCATCCGTAGCTGCAACTACAGTGCTGCCTGGAAGAGAACACTGAAGTGTGGCACGCTACGCTGATGTCCCTCCTAACTTGTCAATATTTCGCCCGCACACCACATTGCAAGCCGATTATTTTGTCTCGGCATAGCCATACAGTCCAGCATCGCAAGTCTCCCACCTCCATGCGTCGGTCATACACAACGCAGTGAGCACGGTCCAGGGAACTTTGGCCGGGTTGTTTGCATCTGTTTGCCATGTTTGCAATACGCTCGTTACATTAAAAAAAGAACCCTTTAAAGGGGGGCCATATTAAAGATGCGCTTATAGTACCTTTTCTTTTCTTCTCCTACATTATATGCCTGGGAATGCACAGGACAGCGGAGGAAGCTTTCCAACTCAGTCACGTATGTTCAATGGGTAGACGCAGAACCCGCAAAGTGCCGGTCACTTCTAATTGATTGACACACCATGCGTAGTTCAAAAACAAGTCCTTTGGTGCTACAATGTTATTTACTACTAGCAAGGAGCTACTGCCATCGCTAGTAGGCTGGAGGCCATTACTACTAGTAGCATCTAGTAGCAAGAAGCTACTATTAGTAGCAAGGTGCAACTAATGTCCAAAGTTGTCCTCCCAAGTCCCCGCTCGAGTCATGGCACAACACCAGCACGGCCTGGTGTGGTGGAGCTGCCAAGTTGCAAAGGCCAACTGATCTCGCGCCACCGGCTCTAGGGGCAGGTGGACCTTCGAAACTGTCCAATAAGCTGCCACGGCCATAGGTAGTGTTGAAAAGCAACGTTTACTTTATGCTTTTCCTGAAAGTAAGGATACTCATGGATGTTCACTCCGCTATCTAGCTTGTACTTGCTTGAGATACAGTATGTTGTGAGCACCATGTGTTGTTTCCAAGTCCAATGCCCAAACAAAGTCCACAACACCCCCTCCACTAGGTGTGCAAGCGGCTGAAACCTATCGATACATACATGTATGTATGTATCTATGTATGCATGCATGCATGTATGTACCTGTACGTATATACCTGTACGAACGTAGGTATGTGTATACCTGTATGTAGATACCTGTATGTATATCCTGTATGTATATACCCGTATGTATATACCTGTATGTATATACCTGTATGAATATACCTGTATGTATATACCTGTTTGTATGTATATACGTGCGTACGTACATGTGTACGTATGTACATATGCTCGTATGTACCTATGTTCCTATGCTCGTATGTACGTATGTACGTAGGTACGTATGTAGGTATGTACGAGTATGTATGTCTTCTGTCTGTCTGTCTGTCTGTCTGTCCGTCGGTCGGTCTGTCTGTCTGTCTGTATCTATGTATGTATGTATGTATGTATGTATGTATGTATGTATGTGTGTGTGTTTACTCTCAGTGGCATGTTGCAGAAGAGAGTGCTTCAGGTGTGATTTGTTTGTCGCATGCTCTAGGGCCTCTAGGGTTTGTCAGTGCGTAATCAGAAGAGTTTCCAATGAGAGACTTCTTTGATGGCAGGCATATCACAAGAACTCCAATGATGAGCTATATGTGATATGTGGGTAAAATATGGTAAAATATATAGCAGCAACCTCAAAAACAAGAACTATGAATTCTGCAGGAGGGTCCTCAAACAAGGAGCGATTGGAATTTGCACATGTTGCTGCAGCTGTTGGTGATCTGAGCCACCTGTATACCTCCAATGCATGTTTTGTTGGTGACAAGGCGCCCAGTGAAAATCAACTCCCCGGGCCGCTCTAAACATCAGCTGTTGTCGATGTGAGAAGCACATTCAACGGTGTACCCTCACAGCCTGTCTTTTCAATATGTGAATGCTCAGGCTTGAATTTCCGTGTGCCTCCATCAGTCTCTCCAAGCAGGCTCCATTTCCAGAAGATCTGCGATCAATATTCAAGAGTTGCTCAGAAGCGTCACGCGTAAAGTGTGGGCCCAAGTCGCAGACCTGGTGAGGGGCTTCGTGACAATCAAGGCTGGCACCCACGGCCCACTTCCAAAAAGGAACGCCCAAGACACAGGGGGAGAGGCTGGTGAGATGTCAATTGGTTTCAGTGTGGCTCGAAGTTCAAGAATGGCATGCAGTGCACCATTTGGAGATGCGCCCCAGTCTGGATGTCCCTTGCAACTGCTCCATGTGTCAAACAAACTCAAACAACCTCTACAGGTGTCTGAGTCACGGGCATTCTCTCTCCAGGCCTCAATATTCACCGCTTTATTTCGGATTGATGTGTCCTGAATTGACTTGGCATGACTTACATGCACTTGAGTTAGACCATCATCAAAGCATTTGTCTAGGTAAGATCCTCGTCCAATTGCTCTCCGGAAGCCTTGAAGGAGCTTGAGCCTTGATCCTGTAATCTCCAGTACTGAGCGGATGGGCCACACCAAAGTCTCGAAGACGACGGTGATTCTGTGATGCCAAGGACTGTACCAAAGGCCTAGGTCACACGACTTGAAACACATTGGATATTATGCATAAGTGTCGATAAAAATCTAGAAACAAAATCATTAGTGCGAGCGCTTCTTCAAGGAAGCTTCCCCCGCCGCCTTTAGGGTGGCCGGGGGGGCTTCCTTGAAGAAGCGCGAGCTATCCAGTGTCCATACTAGTAGCCTAAGTATGGTACTAGCTACCTCTCCCTTAATTTAGCAGGGAGGGGGGAAGCGGGCTCTAAATAAAACTATGTTCTATCGGATTGGTCCAGAAAACATTGAACCTTCGTCCCGATTTGGTCAAGTCAAGCGTTGAAGCGCACTGAGGATGGTGCTGCAACAGCTTCCGAGTCACCTGCAATACGCAAGGTGAGCCGCTACTACCTACTAAGCAGTCCGAAGAATTATCTACAGTATGAGATTTGTCTTGTCTCTTCCCTAACAGATTTGGCTTGAGAAGTTACACGCTTTGCCTGGCCTTTCCTTCTGCCACCAAATCTTGCCCGCGCTGAGCGTTGAGGAGTAGCAAGGATTGAGCCTTGCAACAAGGTGGGGAAATAAGACCCTTGCAAGCATTGCTATCAATAAACCTAAGAAAACTGTATGCTCTTCATGTGACTGGCGTCAAGAAGTTGGTGATTGTCACTTGATCTTGAGTAGCAACCTGAATAGTACAAATAGTGCAATATTCTTCGAACCAGCAAAGTAAGCCAAGCCAAGCTCTAAACATTTATGCCACGCTCCAATCACCAGGGCCTTTAGGCGCGGCTGCTGTTGGCTTTTAGACAATGCCATAGAGGCCGTGTTTTGCACAATGACCTTGGGTTCTTGCTGCGCCATTCTTGCTTGCTCAGTGCTCACACTAAGGGATCGTTCTTATCTGGCTGATGTTCCACAACTCGAATTTGCTCCACAGCTCCGCTTTCTCGTAGGAACAAGAAACTTACTAGTAACAAGGGCATCGCTACCAGGAGCAAGGACGCTATTAGGGGCTCCTGGCATCGCTACTAGGAGCAAGGACGCTACTAGGGGCTAGGATACTAGGGGCTTCCAGGGACTCCAAGTGCAACAGCTCTGCGGAAGAGTCACATCTGGTGTGATGCCCGCAGACAGCATCTCCTGTGAGCAGCTGCGTGGACCCAGGCTTCGTTCAGTTCCAAGTCATCGTTGTCAATTGAACAGCAACATCTCAATTAATCAAATACAGCACAGAAGGTGAGCACTAATCGGCTTATTAAGAAAACAAATCCGCCGACCCCACACCGTGGGGTGAGGCGTGACTGTCGATGTTAGCCTTAGCCTTAAGCCTTAGCCTTAGCCTTAGCCTTGGACCTTAGACCTAGTCCTTAGCCTTAGACCTAGACCTTACCTCCCCTACCCCTCCGGACCCTTGTTGGAGTGACGAAATCCGGTCGAATTTCGCCAGGAAAGCGACCTGGATTGTCCAAGAATCTGCCATCCCAATTGATTTACATCTTGGGGCACCCTCTCGACCCGCGCGGGAAAATAAGCACGGTCCAAAATGGTCCTGGGCTCGAATCCCGGGCTGGTCGCGGCATGGTCCCGGCCAATGCCCTTGCTTTTTCAGCATCACGGGGTTCATGCAAGCGATGACGTCCGAAGGTAAACCTGCTTTGGTGATGCTGTGGTGGTGATGGGTCTGAACTCTAAGGCAACGATATCCGTTATGGGGAGAAGGGATGAGCATCACGGGGTTCATGCAAGCGACGACGTCCGATGTTAGCCTTAGCCTTAAGCCTTAGCCTTAGCCTTAGGCCTTATCCTTAGCCTCAGACCTAGTCCTTAGCCTTAGACCTAGACCTAGACCTTACCTCCCCTACCCCTCCGGACCCTTGTTGGAGTTACGAAATTGTGCCCTGAAAGCTACCTGAGCGACCCGGGAATTGTCCAAGATTCTGCCATCCCAATTGATTTACATCTTGGGGCACCCTCTCGACCCGCGCGGGAAAATAAGCACGGTCCAAAATGGTCCTGGGCTCAAATCCCGGGCTGGTCGCGGCATGGTCCCGGCCAATGCCCTTGTTTTTTTTGTAGATTTTATCACGTTTTCTGTTGGTTTATGAGATTTTCAAAAGCTTTTCTGGCATTTTCCTAGGAATGCTCTAGGCTTTGTCTTTTTGGGTACCTGCTTTGGTGGTGCTGGGTTGGGTCTAAATTGGTAAACCTGGGAGGTACCCAAAAAGTCGACTTTTTGGGTACCTGCTTTGGTGGTGAAGGGTTGGGTCTAAATTCTTGGGCAATGATCGGGGTTCATGCAAGAGCTGACGTCCGATGGTAAATCTGGGAGGTACCCAAAAAGTCGACTTTTTGGGTACCTGCTTTGGTCGTGCTGGGTTGGGTCTGCACTCTTAAGGCTAAGGCTAAGGCTTAAGGCTAAGGCTAACATAGAGCAAGGCTAGCGCTAAGGTTCTATCCCTTGGGCGTCGGCGGCTGCAGGCGGTAGCCTGGTAAATAACAAGCAACTTAGAACCATTCTGGAGGCTTAACGAATATTCATTTGCTCCGTCACTGAATTGTACGGCAAACGTCAATCCATGGACCTAGTAGCTTCTTGTTCCTAGTAGTAAGCGGCCTGGAAGAGCTTCAAGGAATGCTCCCATCTCTGTGCCACTTCGCAGGCCCTCACTGCAGCCGTAAAGGTGATGACCTGAGAATGCGGAAAACCAAGTCACTGATATCCTTGCATCCTCATCCAGTTTCTTCTGGGCAGTGTGTGTGTGTAGGTTAGTAACGGTTAGTATACGTCCAGATCTGCAGGCAAATATATAGATACGTATATGTAGATGTCTTCAGGTTGTTCTTCCCCAACCATTTCTCGGCAGTGCTGTAGGTTTTCTGGATGATGTTGTAGCAGCATGGGTCATGAGCACCTCAGCAACCTTTGGAACTTGAAAAGGGACACTGCTCCGGTTCTGAGAAGTTCTGTGAGGAAGCAACATGCATCGCTGGAACCAGTGTGAATAGACTAGACCAAACTGGCCGTAACGTAGATCGTGCCACCTCTACCAAAAAGTATTGGTGCTCACAGTGCTTTGGGCACCAGGGTTGAAGCTTTACAGTAAGCAATTGAGCAAAGCACCTTCCCTCCCTCTTGAGGGCCAAACATTTGGTTGGAGGTCTTCACTGTCCATCTGGCCGAGCAACTCCAAAACCTCTCGGACGCTCCAGGTGTGTGTTGTTGGGGGGTCCATCAAGCACGTCGCATATGTGTTTGAAATGTAGTCCGTGTCCCTGTGTTGGACTTGACTTGTAGTTGTGTTGTGATTTTGGTATGGTTGGTGGTTGTGTGAAAAAGTATTGATTATGATTTTTGTGGTGATTCTGTTGTGAGTTGCTTTGCCTAAGGGTTGACAAGTCCTTCTTGTGGGGCTCGGGGCCATACCAAAACCATAAGAAAACTCCAAAAATGTATATATATACGGTATAACTGTTATGGTGTGTTATGAGAATAGTATTATGATGTTCCTTGTCCGAGGGAAGCAAACGAAGAGAAACTCTTTGCCTACATCTGAAACACAAAATGCAGCAAAAGCAAGATCACCAGCAAAATGAACATAGCCATAGCAAATACATAACAAAAACACAAAAACATACAGTAAGTAAGACACCGCCAACTTGAGAAGCCATTACAAAACTACTGCAACAATAAATATCCACACCACAACAAAAGCGGTTGGAAAATGCAAGAAAAATCCATGGATGCGTCCCTCGCTCATGTGGGAATCTTGGATCTAGAAGAACTCTGCCACTCACAGCATGGTTGCATACTTGGAGTCTCCAAGACTTGCATGGACGAGAATCCAAGGCCGAGCCCGGGCATGAATGATCATGAATGCGATGCGTTTTGTCCCTAAACCCTCTATGCCACCCTCTATGCCACATTCCGCAATAAGTCTGATCATGCTTGCTGGTGTCTTTCCAGCCTCTGCCCATCGGTGACCCTTTTCGCAGGCACTGGCAGCAGCACTATATGTAATGACCTCAAGCTGATCGTATTGCACTACAGCGTTGCAATGATGGAAAATCCAAATTTGAGCTGTGTGGTGACACATCACGTTGCGCATCATAAAACTGGTGGGATAGCAGACGCATCCAAGTAAGTTGAGTCCTGACTGGGACAGGCAGCACTGAGATCCCAAGCATTGGGCTGCAGCAACTTGTGATGCATGTCAGAGAGCAAACATATTACAAGACTCCAACGCTGGACCTGGCACGAGGCACTCTCAAGGGTTCTTCAGTTGCCGCACTGCTTCAGCTGGCCTGCTCGCAAGCGCTGATGACAGCGCTGTAGGAGATCACATTGGCTTGCAAGCTTTCCTGTCACAAATTCTGCGAGAGTCCTATGTGTCATGGAATTCTGCCCTCACGGGTTCAGGTGTGCTGGATGCATCAAGCGGAACGTCTGACTCGATACCATTCGAAGAGTATGCTGCCAGGTTCTCTCCCTAGCTGAGGCTCCAATGCATTTTGTTGGGAAGGCAAGTGTGCGTTGGTTTTTGAGTTCTTATTGGCACGTCTTTCACATGTATGCCACATGCCTATCATGCATCTGGACACCACACGGCAAGCTCTGTCATAACCACTGGAGTTTGGAAGGCTTGGTTTTGCCAGTACTGAACAGAGTGGCTTTTCAGCACCACCATACTGAGTTCCACAGATACTCCCATGTCAGCGTTCGACAAGTGTATATATATATAGTAATATCATGTAATATCATATAATCCCATTGAAAGGTCGCCTTGAAAATGTGTTAAAAAGAGGTTGGAGAATGGCACTGGAAAATGCAGTGAGGAAAAATGGGCCAAGACATGCAAAAAAGAATGCAGTGCAAATTGTGCAAAGTAAAAGATGAGGAATCTGGAGAGAACAGCTGTCAGGTAGCGATACTGTTATGGTAAAACCGCTGCTGTTTGCATCGAAGCCATCTACCAATTTAGCGCATGAGACCACAGAAATATGAGCACATGACATGACTTCTCTCCTGTTGCATCTGTGAGAAAAGCGCCAGTGCTGCTTGCCATTGCTGTCCTTTCTCACAAGCGCTCGTGAGAGAATTGTAGCTGATTACCTCAGTGCAAGACCAGCTGTGAGGCACCTGCGTGCTGCTTCACAAAACGGTCCTTTCAAAAAAATCCAATGTGGAAGAAACTGAATATGCATGTGTATATATATTATATATTCATGTACAGTAAGCTTGATTTTTTGTGATTTTGCTTGTTCCTGGTTTACAACTGGTTTTCTTCAGGCAAGGCACATCCAGCCGTATGCCCTGGTGGAAGGCAGCCTGGATGGCCTGTTGCCATTGGAAGCGTTTCTCGTAGCCAGCAAGGAGACCCTGATCAACTTCCGTTGGTTCGGACTGAAAGAAACAGCTACAGAAACATGTCATGTTCGAGTACGAAAAGCGAAACCGGGAAAAACACAATGAATCCAGCAAATAAAAAAAACGAATCTTCGAAGAAACTTGAAGCTAAGGCTCATTGAGGCTTATGGTATCTGGTTGAAGACAGTGCTTCTTCATGCGGTCGATGAAGTTTCTGATGCAATCCAACTTGGAGCTTCCTCGCAGCTGACGCAGCTGGAGCAAAAGACGATGCGTTTGAGGAACTCCCCTACCCATCAACACAGCGTTGGTGCAGGTAGGCAAGCACCAAAGGTTGAAAAAGGCGCTTGACTCTTGAAGTTTACACATTTGCCAACAACGAAGCGATGATGCTGATGCAAAGGAATCTAAGCAGCCCTACTGCCAGGAGTTTCTAGTGATGCTCCCAGTATTGTGGCCATCAACCAACCCCTAACCAACCAAGAACCAACACGGCACAAATGCCCGCCCGCAACAGCTATACGGTAACACTCTTCGTCATGTGTATTTCTGGAAGAAGCACGTCTAAAACGTTGATAGCGTTAATACGTATGAGAAGAACAGAACATGAGTGCTGAATCAGCTCGGCATGCCGGTCTCTTGGAGATTTGGTGTGTCATTGGTCGCACATGCAAAACAAGCTTCGCGCATGTGAGTGAATCAAAGCATTGAAGGTGACAGTTGATGGCTCCAGCCGTCTTGAGCACATCACCTGAAAGATCTGCCTGGATAGCGCAATGTCGATTCGATTTGAAATCTGCTGAAATCCAGCTTGAGACAGTGTCGACACAAACCTACTTACCAAAGAACACAAAACCTTCTGACCACAAAAGCATATCGCCTCCAGCAAATGCAAAATGCCTGTGCGAAAACCCATCGACTTGAGACAAATGTGTCTATCACAAAGTCAAGGTTCAGGGCTTTGCTGCTTTGCTGGTCCGAAGCGCATGCGCTGATGGTTGCCTCTTGTGGGAGCGGGCAACTAGCCAAGGTCTAATGGCAGAATGGCAAGCAGGTGAGATGTGCTTGGTTGCCGTCCCTACCTATTGTATGCGCGACAATTAGCATCAATTGGCATGACAAGGGTCAGTGATACTTAGATTAATAAAACACATATCAGTAGTCTCGTTCTGACTTGAGCTCTGCCCAGTAACATTGTAAGATACCACCGAAGGAGATTCCAGCATATCAAGCAGCAGTAGACAAAGTGGCCACTGGGAGCCTCTCCTGAACCATCAAAAGCTGAAGCAACCAAGCAAGACCCGTGTCGTCAGATTGCAAAGCCGAATTTGCTTTAGATAGCTTTGTGTTTGTTGTTTGGTACATGACAAAGCATGTCAATATTCTTGAATGCACGCAGGACGAGAGAGAACAAGGCTCTCACAGGCGGTGATCAAGGAGTTATAGACGATGGTGTTTGGAGCAATAGAGTCATCCTGCCACATCTAGCAATCCAGCACACCGGTCAATCAACCAATCAAACCTGATCAATAAAGTCAAACTATTCAAAATTATTGACCTTCCAACCTCGGCTTATTGAACAAGGTCTCATTTCCCATCAAGGCACTATCTACCACTATGACTTTTGGTTTGAAAATCATTGAAAATCAAGCAAATCCTACGGGCCGATTTTGCGACATGAGCAAGTACTCAATCAGCTCCTTCGCTTTGAGAAGCATCTGCAACGCTAGCTGCCAGTCGCGGCAAGCTGCAAGAGCTGCACCAAGGGTAACAACACCTCAAGTCGACCGTGTTTGAGAACACCCAGCGGGCCCCCGGCGGGCTAGCTCAAAGCAAAATGACAGAGTGACCACCTTTCGTGCTATAGAAACTTAGCAGATCTTAGCAGTCAAACAAATAGATCTGGTCTCTGAGGATCTTCTGCCCCTAATCCAGAAAATGAACTATATATATAATACATAATCATAATACATAATAATACTAAATAGTGGGCTTGCAGCAGTTCGATCGATTCTTGAACTCTGCCTCATCAATTGAATCCTGCCCAATGGCCGAAGCTGTGCTTCCACGGCGCTTCGCTGAACCCAGTTCTTCTCCATCTCTGTGAGCAATTGCAACGCCAAGGTCCAGTACTTGCGCAAGGCCTCCTGAGGGCTCTGCACTTTCCCTTGAAAAAGGGCTTTGCGTCCGGAGAGTCCCTGGGTGTCTACACAGTGACGTTCAATGCAGAAGCACGCAATTTGAGGAAAGAGGATGAAAAAGGGCTCTTGAGGGTTTGGTTCCCTTAGAGTCTCTTGCTTCTTTGGAATCTGAAGATCTCTGCTGGGACGTCGTCAAGTTTGCCGACTTGACTTACTTGCACCCTGTGGCGGTCTGCCCCGCGCTCCAGCACTGTGTTGTAGCTTTGTGTGTCGGCCAGGCGCAAGGCCTGGCATGAGCTCAAATGGTCTGCACTTCATCATCCTGATCTCACTGGTGTTGACTTTTGTCTTTGCACTTTCTGAAGTCGACTGTAAAGGTTTGTTCCAGCCAGTCGATGCTGGTACAGGCTTGTACATGACCTTTCCATCAAAGAACAAGTCCAATCAAGCTGGCGCTACCATGCAATTCTGCAGCAGCTTGAGAGCCTGCGACGCCGAAGGCTCTGGTTTTTTATTGGGGATCCAAAAGAAAATGCTGACACTCAACATCTGAGGGTTCAAACGAGGTCAAACAATCCGTACCTGTATCTCCACGTAACCTGAACTGCTAGCGGATTCAAGCGAGCTGTGTAAGCAAAGATTGCACAATTCAACATCCAAAGGTGGATTCTGTCGGACGACAACCCCGTTTGGAACAAAAATGCATGTTGGTGTCTTGGTCCTACAGGCAGGGTCGTGACGGACAAAAACCTCAAGTGCGATATGTGTACAGCCAAGAAGATTGGCTGCTATAACTCAGCAGATGTCTGGATCGAATCTTCATGGTTTTGGCGTTGTCAAGTCCGATCCTTCTTCTTTGCTTCAAAAAAAACTCTATGACAAGACAGGTTGAGATGGTGGAGATTGAAGTACATAATCAAATCCTGCCTCGTTCCAGCGACGGGCCTTCGCACACACGTTAAGAGTTGCCTGAGCTGAAAATGAATTCTCCGCGAAACCAAGAGGAACAAAATGAAGTGCGATCGACGGCCCCTCTTTGCTTCATGCTGCATTGTAGGTAATGAGGTTCGGTGTTGGGCCATGCTGGTGCAACTGCTGCAAGATGGAGATTGCCTCTGACCACTTTGCGGAACGGCCAAGCTGTCCTGAGGCGTTGATACTTGCACATATAACAAAATGCTTGTGCGATTGATTGTTGGCTGCCACATAGTGCAGGTACGCAGTGTTCGGTGTGGATCCTGTGCCTGGCACTTCAACTACTAGACAAGACGAAGGCGCCAGTTCAATCTGCCATCCTAGATGTTCTTCGATCAAAATACCAAGATACTCTGTGGGGCCTATTGTTTCAAACTGTACCAACAAAAGCAACAACAAAAAATCGGCGAGTCACCGAGTCTGTCTATTTTCTTGGCTCCATGGACTCCAAATCCAAGCCACGCAGGGCAGCGGTGCACTTGCGCAAGGCCATAGAGAAGCCATGCCTGTTCAAGTCTCAACTCACAAAAAAGAAAGCGATCACTCACGGTTCCATCGACCAGTTCAGCAAAGTTAAACAGAAATTGAGTCTTCGATTTGTTTCAATCTGTCCCTTGGTTGGCTTGCGTGACAGGCATCGTGGATCCTTTGGTTGCACTTGCTGGCTGCTGAGCCAACTTGACGTTCCAAGAGCACAATCGGTTGAATAGTATGCCACTGCGGGATCAATGAATCAACCAAATTTTAAGTAATTAGATGTACAAGAGTGACAATCTTCAAACGCTTCACCATTGTGGCCGATGCCCGGCCCGCCTGATGGGTGCCAAAGCAGATGTTCAACCATAGCGAGTGGAGCGTGAGACTATTGCTATGGCATTTCTATCGCCTCTTGACTTGCATCTTTTGTATCTATATACTCATGTTCTGAGACTTTATGCTCAAGGAAGCCCTTTTTGGAAGTGTACTGCAAAACCAGCGAACCAAAGAACAGCCCGTGGTTCTTGACTCCTGCCGAATTAGGCATACGTCCATCTGAACTTGTTCCCTATTGTCGGCAGCAACAAGCAAACGATCAGGAAAAGTTGCAAGATTAGCAACAAGCATTAGCAACAAAACAACGAGATTCAGCGAAAAGTTGCAAGGTCCGGTTTGGGGGCTCCTGGCCGTACTACTAGGAACAAGGACGCTACTAGGGGAACTGCACGTCGGAAGTCTCCTGGCGCACAACCATGCTGGTCTCATCCGTGACCTTAGGCAATATACATCTCTCCAGCACCTAGAACCTTGTTCCACATTGGCTTTGTTGGTCATGACCCACCTAGATCTAGTACTTAAGGAATTAAATCAAGTGACTGGCAGCCCTCAACCTTCTGTGCTCAACAGTGGTGCTTTGCCAGACAGCTGACAAACATCTAGGCTGCCATACAAGCTACAATGTCACACGGATACTGAAGTTGAACATGAGACAATTGAAGAAAAACACAACAACTAGACCTTCCGCCATGATGCTCTGGACTGAGCTGGCTACAAAGGTCCTCGCCATGATTTCTCCATTAACAATTGTTAAGACCTGCACGGCCAAAGGCAGGAATGAAAGGGTATCATGAGGGAGGAGTGAAATGGTATGGGTCAAAGTGAGGTTGACTCAGGGAACCATCAAGGATTCCTCCTAAAGTATTATAGGTAGCTCCGGCAACATGGGCAACACCCCTGGTGTGACGCCAAGGGAAGGAAGTTGTGGCAGCAAGCATTGCAATACAAGTTGTTTAGCCTGGTGTTTCTGCCGACTTTCCAGCCTCCTCACCCTTTACTGCTGGCCGCGCAAGCCTCTTGCCTACGTGTTTGGATCCTTTAAAGGACCCTGAACTGAAACAGGGTCAAGGTTGCGACGCTTTGTTACGCGACGCTGGCTTGTAAACATCTTTAGAGACCACCCAGCTGTGAATGCATCAAATGAGGAACTTTGATTAAGGTGACTGTTCAACCCAAATGCTAACAGGATTCTTTGAATCAATGCACTTTTCATCAAAGGTTCGTGCCTTTTCGTTCTAGCACACGTCCTTTCTGCCTGGCATACTAGCTCAGAGGAATGGACTGACAGGAGTACAAGCTAATGAAAGAAGTTGTTGTGACTGTCCGACAGCCTGTCTCCAATCATTCCTCCACGGGGTTTAATCAAGAAGATTCGTGCCAAACCTGGTCTTACAAGCATCTCCTGTGATGTTGTGCTACAAAGCAGAACTCATGCGCAAAAATAGAATGCTAAATGAGTGAAAATATCATTCTGCCCATTGGTGTCGGCTCATTTCGGTTTCGCTTCGCAGCGGGAAGTTGTAGCTCTCGCAGCTGAGATGCCCACGATTGAGGTGAACTCAGACGTGAGGCAAAAGGCAAATCAGCATGGCACTCAAAAGGATTCACAAAAGAATAGAGTATTAGAGCTGGGGCCTCCATGTTAACATGAAACAACATGATGTCCATGTTCATTAGACAATATTGTTGGGGTTATTTCTTGTTGCATCAGCAATGCAAGCTTTGCAGTGCATGATGGCGCTGCTGCTCCTCAGCACCAGCAACGAGACATGTGCCCGTTTCGAAAGCCAGTAAAGTCTTCCAGTCTTGCCAAGCACATTTGGCAGTCCAACTGATTGGTATGCCAAGCTTTGCTGAGAGAGTTGTGCTATTCTCCTCAGGCCCCATGTGTGGGAATACTTGATACGAATCCCTTTATGGCACATTGGGATGGCCCTCTGAGGCCGTTGAAAGTCATGAGTTTTGCACTAGTGTGAAAAAGAGCTCATGCTTTGTTGATAGCGAGGCAAGATTGAAAAATCCTTGCAGTTTTCCCAAGCATCCATCCTGTTCGAAGCTAGACTGACTCGATGGGTGCCGATACACAAATTGCAAAACAACAAATGACATCAATGGCCCAAAGCTTGGAAGACCTTCAGAGAGGATGCTTGGCTGTTCCTTCATTCCATGTCCGATACATTTCCTTTGGCTGTACAAAGGAAAGCTGATCTTTTGCCAATTCATTCAGGCAAGATCTGAACTAACGCGAATTCGAACATCTTCATACGCTGACAAAGATGCCCAAAAAGCTGAGGATCATTTTGGATCTTGCAAATATTCCTTTGGAAAGCCCCCCGGGCCTTCAGACAAGTCTGGTGATTGGAGACTTCAACAAAATTCACAAAAAGATTGGAATTGCCTCTGAAGGCCTGAGCACAGGTGCGCAGCCTCAGGACCTCGACAATTGCCTGAGACCGCCGCTGGACTCAATGTTTTGGCGAAAACGCTGTTGGATCTATTGGCCAACAATGATCGACCTCATATGAGTTGAGTTGTGTTGTGATTCTTGAGGGAATGTCTGAGGGACCTCGAACTAAGTTGAGTTCTGAATGAAACCACATCGCTCATGTCTGATTAACGTTTTCAGTGGAGCTCCGCACAGACATCCATTGGAGGTGCTAATTTGCCGCTCGAGTTTTTAAATTTGTTGGTGCCTTGTAAATGGAGGAAAAGAATTGGGTGCAATTCTTCGGTTTCACCAATCACAGCAACAGCATGGGTTGAATAGGCCTGTTGAGAAGCTGCTGAAGCTCATTTCCAAAGCGAACAGCGATGTCGGAGAAGAAAAATGCGCCTCCTTCGGGAATGCGAGCGGCAAAGTGAGAAATACAGCCAACTGGAGGGAATCCTCAACAGAATTAACGGGAGTCCAGATCATACATTCCACGGTTGGGCTGGTCCTTAGGTCCTTTGTTCTTCTCCACATTGGATGTGAGGCAGCCACACAAGGCTACACAAGCAAAGTGCCTCAACCAACACACCTTTGGTTGTGCAGGGTCTTGCATGCCTGTGTGGCAGACTTCGAGGAGACAAACAGCATCCAACAAGGGCCTCAAATGTGATTCTTCTGGTCAGTACTGGGAATGCTCTGTCCAGATGCCAGTGCATATGTTGGCACCTCAACATGCAGATCCGCCCGCACGTGTCACATCAACCTAGAAATGTGGGTCATAGTAACGTTTCAATGCCTCAAGACACGAGGAGTTCAAACGAGTTCTTGAAAGGGCTTTCGGGAGGATTCAGTTAGCCGGCTTTGCGCCGCCGTGACGATCAGGTGGTCCTTTTGAGATGTTGAGTTCCACGTTGTCCAGCGAGAAGCTAGAGTTTGAACCTCGGAAGACCGGGGGGGTAGGCCGGAGGTAGAGGAGGTAGGTAGTAGTTAGAGGAGGTAGCTAGTAGCTAGCTCAGTGTGCCCTCCCCTGGGGACACAGTGCCATGGATACTAAGGTGATGCAGAATCCTGCGAGGGTCACGGCCGTACGGAGCATGATAGACTGGGCCACGGTAGGCTTGCCATCCACCCTTGCTGGAACTGTGGGTGCCAAGTTGATGGCCATTGCCAATGCGGGTGTGCCCCAAGCTGACGACATGGAGTGGGTCCTCTTTGGAGAAGTTGTGGGCTCTTGTGCTGGACCTCCCTTCACTGCCCACCTTCGACGGCTTCCGCTGCTGGTGAATGACCCTGAGAGTCAGAAAGGAAGTTGGGACACTTGGGACCTAGTTTGCCCGGTTACCCATGACCGTGTTGACTTCACCGTAGGCATGCAGATCGGCATTTTGACCAAGCCTTTCGACCGCCAAGCTTTGGGGAAGATTGTTGCTAGTGAATGTGTTCCGGTTTGGAACCTGTCGTCTTTCCACCAAGACTTTCCGTGGAATGTCTCACACCTTTTCTCAGGCGCTTATGAGGGATGGCTCCGAGCCATGTGGTGGTTGCAGCAGGCCAACCTTGGCCATTCGTTCGCTACCCACACGTCAGTTGACTGCAGTGCCCTCAAGTGATGAAGTCATGGAGCTACAACCATGGCCATCAGCACCTTCGAGCTCCGATTGAGGCTTCCTTTGATTCGAAGGAGGTCTTCACTGGGATCTTGGCAGATATTGGTGAACCCTCCATTGTCCGGGCTACGTCCAACAAGACCAACCTTCTGATGACGCTCTCTCCACCTTGCCCCAGCTGGAGTAAAGGAGGTAAACACTCTGGACTTGCCACTGACGAGGGCTTTTGTTTCCTTGATGCTGTTGAACACGTGAGCCGTGCTCGACCAGTTCTTGCACTCTTCGAATGTTCAGATGGCCTTGAAGTTCACTACAAGAAGGCATGGTCGCAAGATGTTGCCATTCACCAACTTACAGGCAACCATCGCACACGGTGGCTGGCTATCTGGGTCAGAAAAGACATTACGGCTTCTAAATCTTCTCAAAAATTTTTGTGCGTGATCAACAGGCGGTTGAACTGGAATGATCAAACACACATGCATGATCTTCCTAGTGCCTTGGTTGAGGAGCTCATCCTGCGCTCCCCTCAGGAGGGTGTTTATGGTGACCGGGCTTTGCTGCCTCCAGCAAAGAGAACTCGGGTTGACAGTGATGCCTCTTTGCAGCAGGTGCTTGCGCAGCGACTCATCCAGCAAGGAGACT